TTGGCAACAACTTATGGTCTCTTTCCCACATTAGGGTTTTTATTCCAAATATTTACCCCTAAGTTTAACGGCGTGAAAATATGTAGCCTAAAGCGTGATGTAAGTGTAAGGCTTTTTATTAAAAAAGGAGTTATTTGAAAATATGCTGTAATTGCTGACATCTTAGGGAACAAAGAAGTGTGTGTTTACGCTTTATTATATTAGTATAGATACAATCCTCTCTCAAAATCCCTCTCAAAAATCTCCTCTATCAAATATAATACAATACAGTATATATCTTACTAATATCGTAAATGTGAAAGTTTAGATGGATGGACGTTTGTTAGAGTTTGTAGCCTAAACGGCTGAACGGATCTCGATGAAATTTGGTATACTGTAGGATAGTCTGGAAGAACACATAGGCTACTCACTTTTGTTTTTATTAAATATCACGCTGACGGAGTCAAGGGCGTAAGCTAGTACTCTAAAAATAAACAAAAATAAATCAAATAGAGATAATTCCCGATATCAAATCGAAGAAAGTAAGCGTTTTGACAGAACTAGGAATTGAAAAACCAATTATTCTAAGTTGTTTTATTTCGGCAACTTCTCGTATTCGAATACTCAGTATTGTAGGAAACCGGAGGCATTTAATAAAGTTTTTGAACTTTTGCTTCGCTAGCGAAAAGTTGTTACTTTTAGTATGGGAACTACTTGACGTCGAATGTTCAACTAAATAATTACTTCGTGGGTTTTAATGATTTTAAAGTGTTCTTATTTTGGTTTTACGAAAAATAGAGATAAAATGGTGATAGAACGCACACCTTTGACCAAACTATCGCAGTACTGTTTAGTCGCGCTTTAATTTCTATGCGCTTATGTGGAGGTTTCCCTCGATTTTTAGTTGTGCAACAACAGTTTATTTGGTTTAGAAACAATGGACAATTGCAGAACAGTTGTGCGATGGTTTAAAATTTATTATATTGGTATAAACTATAACATTATGATTACAACAATACTTGCGCACTCAATCTTCTAAAGCTCTTCACTAAGCTTTCACATATTAATTCTATACTAAACTACTCTAATGCAGTTAGGGGTTAAGCGGAATTTCGCTAATATTATAAATACGAAAGTTTGCATGGATGGATGTTTGTTATAGTTTGTAGGCTAAACGAACCGGTCTCGATGAAATTTGGCATAGACGTAGAGGATAGTCTGAAAGAATACACAGGCTACTTACTTTTTTTAATTCCCCGCGGACGGAGTCGCGGGCGAAAGCTAGTATTGAATAAAAATTGTAGAGTTTATAATAAACAAAATAAATCATAGAAGAAAAATTGTCACGTCGTCAAACACGTCTCGGTCCACTGACCGCGTCTGCCATGTTAAGTACGACGTGACAAACGTGACGGAGCTAACACGTCGCATTACACGTAATCCCGGTGGAGAAACACGCACAAAAATGACGTTAGATTTCGCATTACAAGCGAACTCCTCATCAATATGTATTTAGAAGTTAAGAATTTATCTATACTATTATAATAAAGCGTAAACACACACTTCTTTGTTGCCTAAGCTGTCAGCAATTACAGCATTTTTTCGAATAACTCTTTTTTTAATAAAAAGCAGGGCTCAGTGAAGGGACACTCACGTCACGCTTTAAGCTATTTATTTTCACGTTAAACTTAGGGGTAAATATCTTGGATAAAAACCCTAATGGGTAAGGCACCATAAACAACAAGCTGCCAACATTAAGAAAGCAAGGTTACCATGGTTTGTCGTCATGTTGACATTTACAATTTGTAATTTAACACGTGTATGTAAACAATATAATAACATTTTCATAATTTTATGCAGATGAAGTCGCACGGAAACAGCTAGTTAAAAATGTTACCGCTCGCGACAATGTTCGCATTGAATTTAGTACAAAAAAACTAAAGTAACAGTCTATTTTTATTTTAGAGTGTAATTTCTGTTCTGGAGTTTCGTGATAACGTACATCCATACATTCAAATGTTTGTTTTAATATCTAATACTATCGCACAACTGTTTAGTTCTGCTTTGATTCCTATGAGCTTATATGGAGGTACACTATTCGATTTTTAGTGCAACTAAACAGTTGAATTGGCTGCCAAACAAACGACAATCGCACAATATTAGTGCGATAGTTGAGTCAAAGGTGTGCGCCCGCTCTAAGACTATTATAAGCCCTATAATAATTCGTGGAAGTACACGAATTTAAAGACATCCCACACTGTAAAATCTGTCAATAAGTTACAATGTTATGAAAATAAACTAAAAAATTCTTTAGAACGAAGATACAAGATTATCTAGATATCTTTTAAGAGTGGTAGTGCCCGCTTTAACATCTTAGCACAAATAGGCCGGCACGCCCGGTGTAATACCACGACCACACAGAAGACTGGCGTGAAATGGAAGCAATTCCGTCTAATGAGTGAGGTGCCGGAGGCCTAATTTAAGTCCCTTTCTCTTTACCACCCTTTTCTTATAAGCAGAGGATGAGAAGGGGAAGTGGATTTGACGGTGGAGGAGATGCATAGGAAGGGAAAATATCCTCTTTATGTGCATCTCCTCCTCTGTCGGATAACGGTAGGCAACGCATCTGCAATTGCGGATGTCTATGAGCAGCATTTTGGCGGATTCAGGTGGCCGCTTGCTTGTTTGCTACCTTATGTTATAAAAAAATATGTATATACATATATATCTGAATATAAAACAAACATTTCATTCTATTGTAACTTTCCTAACCTTGTAAAGATAAAGTTATTTACAATCGACATCCTATTTTCTTATAAAACAATAGATGAAGAACAAACATCAAGTTCTTCCTATCTTTGTTATATCTATTAATAAACAGATACAGTTTAATAATGTAAATAATCATGTTTTACTGTGTAACAGGAACTAAAATCTTGAAGAATTAATAATATAAATACGTGACTACAGGAGGATATTACGATTTTTTTTTTCTCTCTTTAACTTTCATTTCCACTGATCTTTACAAAAAAATACATCTCTATCCTCTTTGAAAATATAGAGATGAAAAATATGTTAATACAAAGTTCAGTGGAAACGAACACTTACGTTGACTTTCTTATCGAAAACTAGCTGTTCCGGTGCGATTTCAGCATAAAATTATTTTATTGTTTACATGTGTCAAATTGTCAATTGCATGTCAAAATGACATGACATGACAAAACTTGGCAATCTTGCTTCCTTGATGTTGGCAGCAACTTATGGTCTTTTTCCCATATTAGGGTTTTTATCCAAAATATTTACCCATAAGTTTAATGGCGTGAAAACATATAGCCTAAAGCGTGACGTAAGTGGAACTGAAGTAAGCTTTTTATTAAAGAAAGAATTATTCAATAATATGCTGTAATTGCTGACATCTTAGGCAACAAAGTGTGTGTTTACGCTTTATTATAATAGTATAAATACCAAGATTGTCTTACTAATATTATAAATGTGTAAGTTTGTATGTTTTGATCTATCATTTATGATAGAAGGAAGAAAAAACTGATGAAAGGCAAGAATTTCGGCATAGAGAGCATAGTGTGGAAGAACAGCTACCTAACTTTTTTAATCCCTAGCAGACAGAGTCGCGGGCGACAGTTATCTTACTTATATCATAAATGCGCAAGTTTGGATAGATGATTTGTTAGAGATTGTAGCCTGAACTACTGAATGGATCTTAATGAATTTTAGCACAGATATGGAACATACTCGTAGTTTTCTTTTTAATTCCACGCCGACGGAGTCACGGACGATAGTTAGTTATTTATAAAAGCATATCTTAATGTAAACATATCTTATCGTATTTAACCCTTAGTATGTGTTTGCAAGTTTATCAGCGAGTGAATTAAAACAAGGATTTGAGTTCGCTATTTTCTAGTAAAAGAGCCGTCAGAATCAGTCCAGCTATATTGCTAGAACAAACGGGGACTTGCATAGAGACAGAAATAAAAAAAATACATTATTAACTGAGGAAAGTATATCAAGTGTATTAAATACGCTTTTTATATTACATACAGACATACCAATTTTATTTATTGTAGGGCCTAAACTTTGCCCGCGACTTTGCGCATTTGTTTCTACATGTAATCAAGTCTCTACATTTTTTTAAAGAATTTAAAGTGACGCTTTTTAAACTTGAATTAAATTAATATACAACTATCATAATAATAACAACTTAACTGTCTTCTGTTAATAATACCCTAATCTTTGCTTTTGTACATACTACACTAAGTGACGTTTTAGTGACCATTTATTGACTGCCGTCATTGTCATAATCGCGTTATTTATTTTACGAAACAATATATCAATGCAACTCGATTTATGGAATAAACAATACTTGAATTTAACGTCATTAAATGTTTAAATCGAATTCAACCATTGTTATGAGATTTTTATGCATTTAATACAAGTTTAAATAAAATTGTTTAACAGTAGCTTTCGCCCGCGATTCCGTCCGCGTGATATTAAAAAACAAAAGAGAGTAGCCTATGTGTTCTTTCCTATCCTCTACATTTATACTGAATTTCATCAAAATCCGTTCAGCCGTTTAGGCTACAAACGCTAAAAAACGTCTATCTAAACATTCGCATTTATAATATTAGTATGATTTCCTGTTAATAGTTTTACTAATTTTAAATTTAAAATTACGTTAATAATCAGATTTATGTCCATCATTGCTAGCAAATAATTTTATTTGAAACAAATATTATCAAAATTTTATAAACGCAATTTTTCTCTCGCATCCAAACATTTTACTAAAATTATATAATTATTTGTACAATATATTTTTAACGTATACGAAACAAAAACATTGATTTTCATTTATTATGTGGAAAATAATAAAAAACAGATGTTACAAAATATACATATTCAAGCACGTAACTTAATAGTAGAGTCTTCAAAAATATTAAGTTACTATTTCTCAAATATTTGCTTATATAATTCAATTTAAATAAATATGTACATACATAAATACTTACAATTTTTTCTCTTCTATCAAAATGCACTCCACAAAATCCGAACAAATAAAAAAAACACTTAGAAAAAAACACTTTACAACATATTTAATAAACACAATTCACAAAATCACACACAAAATACAATTATCACTGTTCCAAAAGTTACCGAAATCAGTGAGCGAAGTTAAAAAATTAATCTTTCGCGTAGTTTACCGAAGCGAACGATACGTCCACACACGACGACGGTTCAACGCCGAATGCCTTTTGCGCATGGAACATTTTGCTGCGAAAGGGCTTACGTCGCAATGCGTTACTTCGTCCAAAACTAAACTTAATAACATTTTCCGACGATATCAAGGGAAAAATTTCGTTCAGGAGCAGGCGTTTTATTCAAGAATTGGCCTTAACTAGTTTAACCAGTTTAATTCGATGTAGTTTTTTGTAGTAATAAAAGATTTCTTTAGAAAAATCACATTTTTGTGTATGAAATAAACTACTTTAGTAGATTTTTTAGTCAATTTAATATGTATTGAAACAATGTACAGAACTCTGTTTCATTTTACAACTTCGCAAACAATAATCAGACAATTAACATGGGTAGAAAAAACAGCAAAAGTATCTCTTTTGTGTAACTTAAAAATGAATTATTAAAAACAAAAAAGAATAAACAAGCATAAAAATAAGTCGCAAATAACTTAATGCAATTCAATAAACATGTAATTTTATTAACTTAACAGTTTGTAAATGAGATAATAAAAAGTTTCTTTCGACCGTGACAGGACTCGAACCTGCAATCTTCGGATCCGAAGTCCGACGCCTTATCCATTAGGCCACACGGTCATATGAACAATATTAAGTAATTTTGCTAATTAAATAACAAGCTAAACTAATTCACAAAAAGATACAATTTTCCGCAGGTCTGGTTTTAATATGTTTAATAGTGGTAAAGCCCGCTTTAACATCTTCGTACTGTAGGGCCGGCTCTCCCAGTGTAATACCACGACCACACAGAAGACAGGTCAGAAGTGGGAGCAATTCTGCATCTCGTTTGATGAGTGTGCGTACCGGATGCCTAATTTTATTCCCTTTCCACCGTTTTCTTATTAGGAAAGGATGGGAAGGGAAAGTGGATTTGACGGTAGAGGTGACGTTGGTGTATCTTCTTTATGTTCGTCTCCTTCCCTCGAGGGCTTTCCACACTTACACATAATTTGACTAAATATTGAAGAATAGTGCTATTAAGAGCACCAGAAACATACGTCCTTAATGCGTAGATATTTGAATATTGAAGAATCGAGAGTAGTGTCAACACCGCGTCAAGCGATGGACGTGGTCTCTGCCTACCCTTCTGGGTTACGGTCTTAAGTTATGTTGTACATTTAAATCTTAGTAATATAATAAATGCGAAAGTTAAAAAAAACGTAGGCTTTTGTTTTTTATCATTTCACGCGGACGGAGTCGCGCGCTAAAGCTAGTATCAATATAAAAGTTTTGAAACATCTGCATTATGTCGCATTCGATACAAGTATATGAAAACATTCGTAACACTGTATTCGATCAGTAATTAAGTCGCGCGGTCATTAGCAAACTTGCGGTTAACCTCTCGTTAGTTCAGGTAAAAACTATAAAGCTTTTTATACAAACTTTATAAGTAGAAAATATTTATTTTATAAAGACTAAGCTTAACGGATATGTTATTAAAATATTGTAAAGGACATATTGGTAAAGAATTTTATAGAGACAATAAAAACATAGAAACAATTTCATTATGTAAACTACTAGCTATTGCTCGCGACTTTGCCCGCATGAATTAAAAAAAATTGTAAAAATACAGCCTATGTTACTCACAGATGAATTACCTTTCTAATGGTTAAAGAATTTTTAAAATCGGCCCAGTAGTTTTTTCGTGAATCAAATACATAAAAAAATAAAAATCTTTCCTCTTTATAATATTAGTATAGATATAGATATAGATATAGATATAGATATAGATATAGATATATAAGTATAGAAAACAATTCATCTTGCAATACATTTTGTTACTATTTTTGACAAAATACGTTAAACAAACAAACAAATCGACATTACACGTTTAGATAGACGTAATTCTTAACAAACGAGACATGAATGTTAAAAATGTTCATTCTTGCCATCAGTAGCATCAACATGGGAAGTCATTTGTTGCAGTTGAGAATAAATAAATCTTTAGTAGGCGCCATCACATTCCGCGAACTAAACATTATAAAC